ACCCATTTAACCTGAAAAGTAACACACTCGGCACGCCAAGTAATTTTCAAGCACTTGCACCATAAGTGCTTGCCGTAAAAATATAAAAGCGTCGGGCTATTCAGAATGAGATGGATGAAATCGTACGCATTCTGAACTCAAACCCGCTTCCATAGTCTGCAAAAAGACTTTCTGAACGGGAGGCATGAAGGCTTTTCGCTCCGCTTTTGATACCGGCGTGTAAGCCAAGAGTGGACAACCAATTTCGTTGAGGACATGTAACCGCAGGTAGTTTAATGACCTAGGAGTGAATTCTAAAAGTTTTTTTATGAACCTTCTCCCTGTGCAAGCGTGGGCGCAGTTTGTCCACCCACCTAGGTAGTCGTTTCTCGAGTTGACACGTTTTTGATAGTGGATAGACGTTCTCACTTCAGCTTCACAAGAGTTCACAAGTTTTACCAGAGTGAGATTTGTAAACCGGAACTAGGGAGGCAATAATAATACAAAATGCCCCCTCGTCGAAAAACAGCGCCCCTAACATGAGAAGCACCTTTGACAAGTAGGGCGTTCACTGGGTAGCGACTGCCAGCGCCCCTAGGATTGGTTGTCAAAGTCCTGAGAGCTCATGCTCTGCAGCCGTGTGTTTTTTTGCAAAAAAAAAATCAGTATCTCTTACGTATTCCCATCAAGAGCGTTATTTTCCTGATCGTCAGAAGAATTTCCTATTCCCAAAATCAGTCGTCGATGAAGTGGCTCTAGAACCAGCACCCACTAGCCGTTCACATTGGAACACCCCATTTCTCCGGAGTTCCGCCAGAGTCTCAGATTGCGATAGTCTTTTTCACAGGGGTTTCTTGTCCCCTCCCGCTCACGAATACCGCAACCCCGACAGCATGTTCCTTGTAAGAAGCGTTGCAGGTGATGATGCACGCCCATACCTTCGTTTCCACCGATAACAAAACGCCTACTTGTCAAGTTCTGCTCGCGAACTCTTCTCTTCTTAAAGGGAGCTATATGAGAGCACTGATGTGTTACGTCTCAACGCGTGCCCTCCATCTCTTCTTGAATGACCATGGGGACTTACAGGGCTTCCCGTCTAAGAGGGGTACTTGAAGAGCTCTCCATGCACATCTGAGACAACCGTACTTCAGTTGCTAAGACTCATAGGAGCTTAGCCTTCGCACAAAGATGTCCGATGGCTTCAAAAGTTCAAGAGCTCCCCCTCCCTTAATCGACCTGCTCCAAGATGTTGATTCGTCAGAAGACCCCAGAACGTAGCCTGCTCACTCATATTTATTTCAAAGAGGGCCAAACGTTTGGCTTAACATTTCCACTGCTAGTTTAGCTCCTCTAGCTTCACAACTGGAAGCATTACCAATCCCACTAGGCAAAGTTGCAACTGCTATGCAAGAAATCAATCTGAAGCAGGTGAAAAAGCAGGTGGTATTCGCTATTTCTCTCACGACCTCAAATGCCCATTAAAAATGTATGATAGAGCAGTTGGGCATACCTAGGTGGATAATGGTCACAAGTGCACTACGGCTCCACTTTTGGAGCAAAGCTCCCGCTTCTCAGGTCCCCCCCCCCCTCTCCGCCCCCTGATCGTTCACTAAAATACCCAGTAGTATAGTCAGTCCCAAACAATCAAAGAAAACCCTTTTTTGGGTAAAAAAAAGTTGTACACTGAGCTAGTACAACATATCATCGCAAAAAAAGAACGAATAAAGCAGCGGAGAAATAAAAAAATGGCGTACTTCGGGTTGACGGGGCACCAAATGGTATAGGGCGAGGCCTATAGAGGCCACCGTGTCAAACTCTGTGAATTGAAATAACTCAGTTGTATCACTTCGCAGCTTAACAAGACTTTACAGGTTTCCCCCAAGTACAACTTGTCAGTTAACGTAAACTAGCACAAGGATTGCAAAACGCCTCCCCCCCCCCTCTCCCCCCAAGACGAACAGCGCCTAAACCTTCCTAGCTGATGATCTCACCTCATAGGTGAATTCCAACTCGACACCAGGATGAATAGCCACATGACCACCGGATGTGAGATTGACATCAACCACCTGCAAATTAGGCAATTTTCTATAAAGGGCGAAAAAATCAATACAAAGCACTGTATGTGCTGAATGAAAGCACTATATGGAAGTACAACGCAGTAAATGTCAGTATTGGACATAAAACAATCCATTCTATGCTATGACTGTACAACACATGTCAGCGACTCGCCTGTTTGTCATTGTATCCAATATCAAGCTGCTTGTGCGTATACAGTTTATAGGCCGGCGGAGACTCCGAATCGTCAACTTCACCAACCATTCCTATAACCAATAATAACATAACTGTAAGCACATTAGCTTAAGTACCACTCAGAATCCCATCTAATGTGGTTTGAGTCGATATGAAAGAGATTCGATAAAGGTATTACATGTAGAGAGACGGCAAACCTAAAAGAAATCCCTGGAGAAAGCACTGCGAGAAACGAGAACTAGAACTATGGCAGGGAGATTTGGAAAGTACAGCCTCTCAGCGATGAAATTGTTCGAAATAATGTCCTATACGGCGACCTGATATTGCTGTCACCCCGGTTCTGAAACGTTTTCCACATCTCCTCAAAAATGGTTTAGCTCAACCATTTCGTAAGGCGTCCTTTCTTGTCTTCAAGTAGTTTGGCCTACAAACCTTCAGGAGACTGGCCCTTCATAATGTGCAGTTTTAACGCCTTCCCTATGTAGGTTCCCGCCGATAAAAAATCCATAGGGCCGTTTTCCGCTTAAAGTAAGCTTCAGGCTCTTTTAGCCGTAGGTTTTTGTTTTTTTTTTTTCAACTGCTTAAATGATATTACATGTTGATCGCTGCGAAAAAGAAAACCGGTTACTACGGCCCAAAGGGGCAGGACATAAAAAAACAAGCAGATTTAAAAACGAATGTCGTTTACAGTGGAGGCGCTAGGAGTTGCCTTAACCTAAAGCGTTGCAGAGGTCACTTATGGTTAGCGGACTATAAAGTTGGAACGCCACACAATCCAACGGGGTATGTCTTTAAACCCGGCCTGCGGCACGATTTCTGGCTCCCTCTCGTAAGCATTATAATGCCTAAACTAAGAAGCAGTGCAAACATAAGTGCCGGTGCAAGAGCCCAGAATGCACTTTGGGTTGCTCCATCGGCTCCTTCCGATGCTCTCCTCGGCTGCCCCCAGGGATTTGCGCTTTTTTTGCCAAAATTGTGCTGGGTTTTCTCCGTTTTCAAACGTATTCCCTGATTTCCTGATTTCGCCGTCAATAACAAGTAGGTAAGGAGCGCTCCAACAGAGGTTTTCCTAGTTTAAACAGGAGAATGGGGTATACAGATATGGATATACAGAATACTCTTCTATTGAAAAAAAAAACAAATTCACCCCAAATAGGCATGTCATCCAGGTACATTTGGTAGAAATAGCTGTTCTTGATGGCGTACACGAACGTCTGGTAAGCCTCATTTGTAAGCTTCATTTTACAGAATACTGTCTTCTTTACATTCGCTGAAAAAGAATGCGAGTTATTCAAGAGACATTAAGTCAATAGGCGTCATTAGGCTGATAATTTGATGGCCGACGTTTGCACATCTGCAAATACAATCGGAAAAGGGACAAATATAAAATCTTCGACGTAAATTAGGCAAAACTTACTTCTGAATTTAATATCCAAGCCAGAGAAGTCAAGCTCAACTCCGAGAAGGGACTCTCCCATTGTCTCATGGTAGTGACCAATGGACTCCTTTGGTCCTCGGCAAAATGGTAGGGAAAAGTACGCATACGTCTCTTGCCGATTATTGTACGGGCCAACCTAAAAAACCATAAATTATGAAAGGAGGATCAACAGGAATGAAGAAAAAGCAGTCAAGTTCAAATTCAGACTAAAATTCGATTGCAGTATGAGGGGCGCTGTTCGGTTGGGGGGGGGCATTCTGCTGGTTCCCACTGGTCACAATTGGTACCTCTTGGAGACCTGTGAATTCCTGTAAAGCTATTCAATAACAGGAGCTTCGTTTACACTTCGCAAGAGTCGACACGTGATTCACAACGAACCAGCGAAAAAAAACTAGTGAGAGGGCTAAATGCCCCTCCCAAGCCGAACAGCGCCACCACTTGCTGCTGCAGCTTCTGCACTCACTCTGGAGCTCTTAATCCACCATCCACCTTTTTTTGCCCGTCCGATTATGTTTATTCGCCCCGTGAACAAGCAATTTAGCTCGTCTGGTCAAATTTTCACTAGAAAAACACCACGAATAAACAAATCGTATGAGTGCTGAAAATGAGCCGACGCGAGCCTGGCTACCGTGGCGAGCCTGCACATGTCTTAAATTAATTAAAATGTCACATGTATTAAGGATTTGTAATCAAATAAGGCACATTTCGTCTGAAACGCGGTGAGAGCGCGTTCATACTTCGCGATCCGGCCTCGGATCGGGTGCTAGGATTGCTCTAGCGATCCAAGTCTGAACGCGTTCTAACTGTATCCTTTCGATAGTGCAGCATGGCGTTGGCAAAGTGGTCCTAATACAAATGGCATGAGCCGGAGAAGGGAGACTTCCGCGATTTATTTGCTGGAAATGCGCCAGAATCTCTGCTCGGAAAATGAATCCCTTGACGATTATAATCTAAAGACAGTGTCCATATCCCCGGAATAGGGAGGGCGCGTCGGTTCATTTGGGCGTGTCTGGATGCGCTCTTTGTGAGACTGAGATAACCGTCGTTCTTTGGGCAAAGAGAAGACTACACGTTTCCCATACCGGCAGTGCCTAACCAAAAGCGCAGCTACCGATTTCAAATGTGGTATGCAGCCACGCCCTCCCTATATGCGGGATATGGAGGACATAAGCAATGGATTGGTTTGAGTGTGCGAAATGAATTCCGATTCAGACCAAGCCTCAGGGGTCACGTTCTGATGAAAGTAGAAGACAAACGATAGAACACTCCCGCTGACCAAATCTTGTTTCCCGGCGCGCCACGCACCCTGCTTCAGAAAC